TTATATTTTATTTTTGAGCAATCTGATTGGTCAATGAAACAGGAAGTTAGGAACTTTTTAAGGAACTTATCAAATTGTTGAGGAATTGTTCAGAGGAACTCCTCGAAGTTAGGAAATGAACTGGTCAACATTTTTCGGAACGCTACTATTGGCACGACTGTAAACAATACATGGGGAACAAAATAGGATGATTTTTATTATGCATAGTCTCATATTTTTTTCAAAAGAAGCAAAAATCTGTGACGTTCTAGAGAGGACGTGAAAATTGTATTTTCGCGTCCAAGACGACGTCGCAAACCAGAAGCTGACAATAGTCGACGCCAAATGACGACATCCACGTCCTCTTGACGTCCGCGTCTTGTTATCTAAAACCGTCTAATAACATATTTACTACCAAACTGTGAAAAATTGAATCATATCTTACCGGCATACGAAAAAAAGTTTGGAAAAGTCTAAGAGCGTCGTCAACTTCTTTTCCTTCCATGGGAATTGTTCTTACAAATAATCTGAAAAAAATCTTTGTATTTATCTCAAAATTCAGGCACATTCCAAGACTGCTTATTGTACAATACGCCAGAACTTCTCAAACTACATCTCAACGTCTGAAATATCTTTTTCAGGTAGTGCAGACACAAAAGTCACAAACCCGCGACCTTTGGGATAGTAGTCCAATGCTCTGCCAACTGAGCTACGTGGTCATGTCGGTTCGAGTTGATGATATTTCGGAACTGCGTCTAGTTCCTTCGATATCAGTGTATTCTATGATATGATTATTTTGTGTGTGTTGGTGTTATGTACTCAGGTGAAATATGATGTTTGTGATGTTACTCCGAGTGTGCATCCACACCGGGCAAACTGAAAAGTTAGCTTGGCCACAAGCCACGGTGGGAATCGAACTCGCGACCTTTGGGATACTAGTCCAATGCTCTGCCAACTGAGCTACGAGGTCAAGTCGGTTCAAGTTGATGATATTTCGGAACTGAGTCTAGTTCCTTCGATATCAGTGTATTCTATGATTATTCTGTGTGTGTTGGTGTTCTGTATGTTGGTGTTGTTGGTGTTATGTATGGCGATCTTATATTGTAGCACACTGCCTTAACTGGACCACCACGTTTGGGATACCAGGTAGTTCAGGCATAAGCCAAGCTTTCTTACTGAAGAATATTATACTATCTACACCCACGTTTGAAACAGAGTACATTATACTTACTGTAAAACATCCATGCTGAGTGGATTACGTAGGTCGCCTAGATATTCTCCAATTTTCTGTTTATTTATACCAGGTTCTTCTCTCAAGAATTTACATATACCCTCAGCATCATATTCATCCAACACTCCAGTATCAATCAGGTAGTTGATGCCTTTCTTTGGTTTTCTGCATGATATAAAAACTAACTTTATTTATACTGCATTATGATTTTATCTATCATTTATACTGTAGACTGTTTACTTCTAAATTGTTCCCCTAGACCTCCAGTAAAGACTTTCACTGGGGAGGGGGCAACATAGTTCACTGGAGGGGCCAATATTGAGGTTAGACTTGGCCTCGTTTGAACAGGGGCCGGTTGTATAAAAAAGTGATTAAAGTTAATCATAGTTAAGTGGAAGCGTCATCAAATAAGAAGCGCGTATTTGAGAGTAATCACTATTTAATTACAAAATAGTGATTAAAAAAGTGATTAAGAGTTTTATACAACCGGCCCCAGGCCTTTACAATGAATTCAATTTCGAGCATGAAGACTGGACCAATAGACAATTCCCATTATAGACTAATTTTAAAACTTGGCAAGGAGATGCAAATAAATCACCACATCTAGAAACAGCATACTAAAATGAGTAAAATTGCAAAGTTTGGTTGCGAAATGTTGTGAAATACGGAAAATATAGCCTTTGCAATGTATGTATACTTTTGTATTGCGTGCGGAAATTGCTACCATTTTCGGCCCAAATGTGCTAGCAATTTCCGCACGCAATACAAAAGTATACCAAATTTGCGAACTTTGCAACGCTATATTTTCCACATTTTACAACATTTCGCAACCAAACTTTGCATTTTACTCATTTTAGTACGCTCTTTCCGGGAACATACTTTTTTGCCAAGATAAAAAAATTGGTCTATAATGGCAATTGTCTATTTATTAGTGTTTTGCACCCCAATGCACCCCACACTCTTACTTTACTATGTAAAACAGCAGATGATTTTACTCATCAGGGGGAGAACACTGGTGCTCAATGCATGGGTTAAAAACCGAAAGCCCAGTTGTTATCAGACAAATCTTATTGAAAGTTGAGTATTTGCTCAAAATAGAATACATGTCCTTACATAGAATAACAATTTTGCAAAGGTAAATTCTTTGTTTTGATGGATTTGTAAGAAATGTTTGAGGGAACTGACTCAGTTTCCTCAAACATTTCTTACAAATCCTTCAAAACTTAGAATTTACCTTTGCAAAATTCCTACTGTGATCACAGAAACTTTGATAGTGTAAACCATCCTTTATAACACTCAGTAAGTTTCCTCAAACATTTCTTACAAATCCTTCAAAACTTAAAATTTACCAATGCAAAATTCCTACTGTGATCACAGGGACTTTGATAGTGTAAACCATTCTTTATAACACTCAGTAAGTTTCCTCAAACATTTCTTACAAATCCTTCAAAACTTAGAATTCACCCATGCAAAATTCCTACTGTGATCACAGAAACTTTGATAGTGTAAACCATCCTTTATAACACTCAGTAAGTTTCCTCAAACATTTCTTACAAATCCTTCAAAACTTAGAATTTACCAACGCAAAATTCCAACTGTGATCACAGAAACTTTGATAGTGTAAACCATCCTTTATAACACTCCGTAAGTTTCCTCAAACATTTCTTACAAATCCTTCAAAACTTAGAATTTACCTTTGCAAAATTCCTACTGTGATCACAGAAACTTTGATAGTGTAAACCATTCTTTATAACACACGATAAATTTCCTCAAACATTTCTTACAAATCCTTCAAAACTTAGAATTTACCTTTGCAAAATTCCTACTGTGATCACAGAAACTTTGATAGTGTAAACCATCCTTTATAACACTCAGTAAGTTTCCTCAAACACTTCTTACAAATCATTCAAAACTTAGAATTTACCTTTGCAAAATTCCTACTGATCACAGAAACTTTGATCTAGCATAAACCAGCCTTAATTGTACAGTACATAGTAATACTGTGAAATATCAAACCTGTTAAAATGATTGATTCCAATGCGGACATCTTTTTCCTTATCTTCATAGAACGTCTGCATGATACTGGACGAAGGTGAGAGACTGTTCCCACTGAGGCTGGCTGTATCATCTCCGAGTAATTGATCCAGTGCGGGCCAACTGTACGAATGATTGTCACCAATATCAAAACTGTCATAACTATCCCCTAGCTTATCTGCAAATTAAGTCAGTGAAATAAGACAATGTATATTAGTGGATTTCGGTATTGTATTGTATTGTAAAACAAGCAGGGTTCGAGATTTGCAGTATCCCAGTATCCTGACAATAACAGTTTGAAATCTTGGGTCGACAGAAAAAAAGACAATTGGTTGGGAAACAGGATGAGTAACAGTAGAGAAAGAGTTAAGATCTTGAAGATAAACTACCAACTATGTTTGAAATATTAGCATTTATATGTATGCAAATACTCGGTGTGTATCATCACAAAATTATCCTAATTAGTAATTATGTGCCTGGCTTTGTGTTGTTCTATCTTTAAAGCTCATCAGTTCTTTACAGTTGCGCAGTCAATTTCGGTGCTGCATTCTTGATGTGATCTTTACAAAAATACGATTTTTAGTCCGTACATGTTGTTCCAAGGCCGTAGGAAGCTCGTTTTGATTGGGGGGGGGGGGGG